AAAGGCTGTCTTTGCTCCTCCACTGTAATGCTTTATTCCTTATCAAAGGCTAGCTGGCTGTTGAATTGGGGGTGTATTCCATAAACCTGCTGCTGTCCATCAGTGTTCTGTTACTTCAGCTTTTTAGTGAGCCTTCAATTACTCTAGTGCATACATATCCTTTGATGTTAAATACTAGCATGTTGGAAATTTTCCACTCTAATTTAGTAAAATAATTATGACAACCATTTATTCCCTTGTTTTAGCAAATATAAAAACCATTGTGCTTTTGATTTCAGCCATTCTGGCAGGTACAGAGGGAGCTGAAAGGGGATGGGATGGGGGGGGTTGGTGGGAGCAAAGGAGCATGGGAGGGAGAGGGAGCTGGGATTGATATGTAAAGTAAGATTGTTTCTAATTTAAATTGCAATAGTGTAGAGACCACCTCGAATGCCCATTCCTGATAGTGAACTTGATGTCTATAAGCATCCTGGAGCCTTCATCCAGTGACTGATGGAAGCACAGGCAAACACCCACAGTTAAATACTGAACAGAACCTAAGGAACCCAGTGACAGAGAGAGAGGAGCGAAGAGCAAATTGGCAAAGAATAGGCTGGCACAACCAGCAGAGACAGCTGATCTGAACAGGGGAGAGCTCTTGGACCCCAGACCCACAGCTGGGAGGCCAGCATGGGACCGATCCAGACCCCCTGAATGTGAGAGTCAATGAGGAGGCCTGGGCTACCTATGGGGTCCTGAGCAGTGGATCAGTGTTTATCCCTCGAATACTAACAGACATCGTGTGTCCATAACACAAAGAGGGTTGCTCTCTCTGCCTGGACTCTTAGCGAAGTGCCTGGACCCTACCCTGAGTGAAATGGTAGACTCTAGATATCCCCTATGCAGAAGGAATTGGTAATAGGGTGGGAGGATGGGGGGACTGGTGGGGGGGAGTGCAGGAGGAGGGGAGGGAGTGGAAACTGGGATTGACATGTAAAACAAGCTATTTAAAATAAAAATAAAAATAAATAAATAAATAAAATAAATTTTAAAAATCTAGGAAAGAAAGAAAAATTATAAAATGAATTCAAGAACACACACACACAAAAACCATTGTGCAAAGTGCTGCTTATACTTTTGAAATAATATTCACTTTCTTGTTTGATACAATGTGATAAATCTGTTACCCATTTTTACAATCAGGATGCCTTCTTTATATACATACATACATACATACATACATACATTCATTCATGCATACATACATACAATTTAAATTAGAAACAATCTTATTTTGCATATCAATTCCAGTTCCCTCTCCCTCACATTCTCCCATATTCCCCAACAACCCCCACATTCCATCCTCCATCTGCTCCCCAGGGAGGGGAAGGCCTTCTGTGAGTGGTCATTAAAATATCTCAAGTCATTTGGGGCAGGGCCTAGGCCCTCTCATATGTATCTAGGCAAAGAGAGTATCCCTTCATGGGAAAGGGTCTCCCAAAAGTTCGTTCTTGCACTAGGGATATATCCTGATTCCACTGCCAGAGGCCCCATAAACTACCCAGTGCTCCTAACTGGCACCCATGTTCAGGGGGCCTGGTTTGGTCCTATATTGGTTCCCCATCCGTCAGACTAGGGTCCATGAGTTCCCACTTGCTTGGGCCAGGTGTTTCTGTGGGTTTTCCCAGAGTGGTCTTGACCCCTTTGTTGGTCTCTCCCCTCTCTCTGAAACTGGATTCCAGGAGTTTGGCTCAGTGCTTGGCTGTGGATCTCTGCTTCTGCTTCCATCAGCTACTGGACTAAGGCTCTAAGATGGTATTTAAGGTAGTCCTCATTCTCATTATAGGTGATGGGCATTTAAGTTGGCCTCTTCACTATTGCTTAGGGTTCTAGTTAGGGTCATCTTTTTGGATCTTTGTATTATTCGCTAGTGCCAGATTTATCTTTAAACCTATAGTGGCCCCCCAAAGGATGCACATTCATACAACAAGGACATCTATTCAACTGTGTTCACAGCAGCATTGTTTGTAATAGCCAGAACCTGGAAATAACTTAGATGACCCTCAACCAAAGAATGGATACAGAAAATGTGGTATATTTACACAGTGTAGTACTACTAAGTGGAAAATTTGCAGGCAAATGGATGGAACTAGAAGAAACCATTCTAGGTGAGGTAACTCAGCCACAGAAACACAAACATGGTATGCACTCACTCGTATATGGATTTTACATATAGTGAAAAGGATTACCAACCTACTCTCCACACCTCCAAAGAAATAGGAAACAAGGAGGACCATAAGAGAGTCATACATGGTCCTTCAGTGAAACAGAAAGGGACAAGAGCCCATGAACAAATGGGGAGTGTGGGAGGAGGGGGAGGGAGGTAGGAGAAAGAGGAGGGGAGAAGAAGAGGGGGAAAGAGAACATGAGGGATCAGGAGGATTGAGTGGGGAGAGGAATAGAGGAGAGCAAGAAAAGAGACACATCAATACAAGATGACTTTCTAAAATAAAATCCTAGGTAGTGTAAGCTGTAGCAGGAAGTCTTTCCTCTGTCCCATCTTCCCCACTGGACCTGTTTCTCTCCTGCTTGGTTCCTGCAGCCACTTCTCAATAATAACTCAGAGGCTTAATGCTAATTACAAGCTGTTTATCCTATTAGCTCAGGCTTATTATTAACTGACTCTTGTAATTAGTATCTTTATCTATTGATTCTATGATTATACTTTTTAAACATTTAGATGCCTTAATTTTCATAGATACATAATATCTAGATGATATGTCATCATTTACTTTGTAGAAATACAAAAGAGTTCATTCCAGCACTGGTATTTTTTTGTTACTTGAATCATAACTTTGTCATATGATGCTAAATGCTGATACTTTAAGTACACATTTTATTTAATTCAGCACTGTGTTTTCCAAATGGGTCACTCTGTTTTAGATAACATAAAGCTAAGCTTAGTTTTTCTGTTATGTATGGTGCCATAAAGTTTTTGTAAAGCAGCCCTTCCATATCAAAAGTGTTTTGCATGAGGAGCCTCTAGGGAAAGGCATAGAAAAAGCCTATACCACAGTGACCTTTGTAAATTGCTCATGTCTTGTTTCTGATGTAGATTAAGCTCCTGCACATCCACTCAGTTTCTACATTCTTGCTCCCAAATTCAGCTGTGCTAGTGTCTCAGCTTCATGATGAGCCTGTTAGAAACCTCCTTTTATGATTGTGCTGAGTACCTCGCAGCATGGAAACTTAGGGCCTCCCTACATTTTTATTACATCCTAATGGTACTCCTCACTTCATCATTTCCGAATAATCACAGACCCTCAACATTCTGAAGCAAGTGTTTTTTTGCTTGGAAGTTGGATAAGGAATAGGCAATACATGGTTTGAATTAGCTCCCTTTTCCGTACACTGAGGCCCCCAATTTTAAACACACACACACACACACACACACACACACACACACACATACACACACACACAAGTTTGTCAATTCTGTGACATATTCTGGTTTTTCAGAATTGGAAAACAATTTGCCCTAATTCTGCCTTTCCTGTGTGTAAGGTTGGCAGGAGGAGAACCAGACAAGGGAACAAGTGGCTCAAAGACACCACATGTTTTCTTTCAGATAAACCAGCAGAAGGGAAAACCAATTTCTAGAGGTACAGTTCTCAACCTGTGTGTCACAAGCCTTTTAAGGGGGTCTAAGGACCCTTTCACAGGGGTTGCCTCAGGTCATTGGAAAACACAGGTATTAACACAATAGTAGCAAAATTACAGTTATGAGTAGCAACAAAAATAAATTTATTGTTGGGAATAACCACAGCATGAATGGGTATGTCAGAGGGTTGCAGCATTAGGAAGATGGTAACCACCGCACTGGAGTGAGGTCCCAGAGTCAATAGAGAATGGTAGGATAGTGACCTACAAGTTAGGGTAGTCATCTTGAAGACACACGGATGGCAGGAGAGAATTGATCAGGACTATTTCATATTCCTTAAGTGAGTTAATTTTCCAAGGTAATATAAGGTAGAACAGCTCAGACTCCATTTGAAACATGAGGAAATTGAAGTTTAGAACTGGCGGACAACCTTCTGTAAGTCTCATTTCTACTTATCCTCCTATTTTAAGTTGATTTAAAGTCTTTAACTGTTGTCTTATCACATTCAGACCCCAGTGGAAAGCTATATAAGCCCTAGAATTCTCACCTCGTTTGCTGAAACTATTACCCTCGATTCCCAACTCCTCCATCAGTCCTACTGTGTGTTTCTACTGGGAAGGCAAAGTACCTAAGATGGAGGTATTGCAAGGGCTGTGTTAGCACTGTGTTAGGCTTGATCTGCTCACATGGATGACTTCAGTCATACTCATGGTACTAAAGCAGACTCACAATTTCATCATCCTAATTTTGCAAATGTCTCCAAAAAGACACTTAGAAAACAGTGGGTGGATGCACATTGCCTTAATTTTAGGTTGAATCACTTGTAAAGTTGCTTCAAAATATTTTCATTGGTATGTTGCCTAGACAAGGTTGTATCTTGCTACCTCATGTTCACATTAATGAAATAATCTTGGAAAGATGATATTTATAAATATATACACCACATATTTGTCAGAAGGACATATGTTGGAATAAAACATGTGTGAAAAATTAGTAAATTAGTATCTGCTTCTACTGGAAACAAAATATTTTAAAAAATAAAAGTTACAGGTCATAATGCACATAAAATATGTATTTCATTATTAGAGAGTTGTAGATTTCACCAAAGAGTTTGGTTTCTCTCAAATACCTATCATTTTTTTCAAGAATATTAAGTACAATTTGGTTAAGGTCATGACTATTATAATAGCCTTCTTACATGCTAAAGAACACTGATAGATATTAATCCAAATATGTAGGGTATGAATGAGTGATATCAGTGAGTCAGCTTGTATTAATGAGTTCACTGTTCATTTATATAAACTGATCCTTCAAGCTATATGGATGATGTAATTAACATAAGTTTCTTTTCCCCCCTCAGCTCAGTCCATTCTTAAGACATACTGTTCTGAAGAGAACATACAATGTCACCCTCCCATGTTCATCTTCTAAGAGAGAAATTGGCTATCGTACAGAACAAAAAGCTGGACAAAAACATCAAAGAGATAGAGAGCAGTATCGTAACTGGTGAGTATGATGGACCCACAGAGTCATAGAGATGCATGTGTGCAACCCCATTTCTACTGTGGCATTCATTATATCATTGTCAGATCCTTCTCTTTGCCCATGGTAGTAAGATAGGTTTATGTCACCAAGGAATAATTAAGAGATCATGGGGAAGATTATCTTAATGCTCCTATATTTGACTTCTAATCTGTTCTTTATAGTCTGCTTTTCTTTTTGTTTTTGATGCCAAGACAGGGAGTTACTTTAATGTGATTAAGTTACAGATTCTTAGTTAACATATTTTTCTATTACAAAGAAATATATTGCATCATAATAAAGTATAATAAATCAATATTGTGTTTAGTCAGATATAGTGAGATTATATGATATGGCAGCTTGAGTGCTTTCTGGACAAATTGTACCTAGATAAACTATAGTTACTCTCATATAAAACATTAACTGATAGTACCTGTAAACTAACCACTGATTGCATCATAATGACTATGATAGTGCTTTAATCATTGATTATTTTTTATTGTAAGGGAGGACTATATTTAAGCAGTTGGATGCTGCTGTACTAAAGATTATTTCTCATTTCAGTGTCTATACTTATACAAGGTGTTATACTTCAGGAGTTGACCATGATCACATTAATTACTAGACTAGAAATTAGATTCTAAACACACAACAGCTATTTATGAGAGTAATAAAACCTAAAAAACCTGATATATCACAGACTGTTAGAGGAACAGATAAAATTCTTTATTATTATAACTGACATTGAATATAAATAATTCTGATATTTATATTTAAGAAGGTTAGGGATATCTGAGGAGTATATTATATTATGTGCTGGAATAATATTTCAGACCTTTTCACTTAAATATAATATCCCATTTTCATGTCTTTAATTTTTATGCAGTAATTATACAGTATAAAAGTCCCTGAAACCAAAATTATAATTATATTGGTTGGAGAGGATCTGGATTGCAATATCCACATTTTTTCAGTGTGCACACATAGTCAGTATGCTTTTATTCTGCCACAAAGAAGAAGAAAATGGAGTAATTATTCAGAAACATGGTTAGAACTGGAGATAAGTGTTTTAAGTGAAATAATTCAGACACAGAAGTAAAAATAATCGTGTGTTGTCTGTACTTCATGGAATTCAGGTTAATAAGTGGCACAAAATTAAAAGTATAATCATTTGGGAAGAGAAAGAGAATCGGTGGGAATAGAGAAGGGAGAAGAAAAGGTAACAAGTACATGATGTGTGTACATGAAACATTACAGAGAAACATATTATATTGTTCAATGCACTAATAAAGAAAAAGAAAATAAGATAAATATGTTTACATATATGTATATATGCAATGTTATATTTAGTAGATTTTGCATCAATTTTTTTTCTTGTTCATTTGAATGGGAAACAAACTTGCTTCACAGGTCAATCCCAGCTCCCTCTTCTTTTCCTTCTCCCCTGCCCCCCACCAACCTCCCCAGCTCCCAATCCAATCTCCACTCTACTTTCAGGGAGGGTGAAACCCTCCATGGGTGGTCTCCAAAGTATGTCCTATCATCCAGGGCAGGGCCTAGGCCCTCCCCCATGTATCTCTCAAGAGCATCCCTCCATGTGGAATGGGCTCCTAAAGTCCATTTAGATGTCAGGGTTAAATACTGATCTACTACCCAAGACCCAGTAGATTGCCAAGGCATCCTCACTGACACCCAAATTCAGGGGGTCTGGATAAGTCCCATACTGGCCTCTCAGCTATCAGTCTAGGCTCCATGAGCTCACCCTTACTCAGCTAAGCTGTTTCTGTGGGTTCACCAGATCAGTCTTGACCCCTTTGCTCATCAGTCCTCCCTCTCTGCAACTGGTTTCCAGGTGGCTCAGTTCAGTGTTTAGCTGTGGATGTCTGCCTAAGCTTTCATCAGCCACTAGATGAAGGTTCTAGGATGGCATATTAGGTAATCCTCAATCTCATTATTGGGGAAGGGCATCTATTGTATAGATTGTCAGTTGGTGTCATCCTTGTAGATCTCTGGGAATCTCATAGTGACAGATCTTTCCTCAAACCTATAATGGCTCCCTCTATTATGGTATCTCTCATCCTGCTCTCCTCTTTTCTTTCCCCTACTCAACCTTCCTCCTCTCCCATATCCTCCTCTCCCCTCCTCTTCTCCCCCTCTCTTATTCCCAGCTCCCTCTCCACTCCCCCCCCCATGCTCCCAATATGCTCAGGAGATCTTGCCTCATTCCATCTTCTCTGTGGTACCATGCACATCTTTCTTAGGGTCCTCACTGTTTCCCAGACTCTCTGGCAGTGAGATTGTAGGCTGACAATCCCCTGCTCCATGTCTAAAATCCATATATGAGTGGGTACATACCATGTTTCTCTTTTTGTGACTGGGTTACCTCACTCAAGATGGTTTCTTCTAGTGCCATTCATCTGCCTGCAAATTTCAAAGTTCCATTGTTTTTTTCTGCTGAGTAGTACTCCATTGTGTAAATGTACCACATTTTCTCTATCCACTCTTCAGTTGAGGGGCATCTAGGTTGCTTCCAGATTTTGGCTATTACAAATAAAGCTGCTATGAATATAGTGAAGCTGATATCCTTGTAGTATGAGTGTGCAGCTTTTGGGTATATGCCTAAGAGTGAAATTGCTGGGTCTTGGGGTAGGTTTATTCCCATTTTCCTGAGGAATCTCCACCCTGATCTCCAGAGTGGCTGTACTAGCTGGCACTCCTCCCATCAGCAGTGGAGGAGTACTCCCCTTTCTCCACATCCTCTCCAGCTTAAACTGTCCTTCATATTTTTGATTTTAGTCATTCTGGCAAGAGTAAGATGGTATATTTCAGAGTTGTTTTGATTTGCATTTCCCTGATGGCTAGGGATTTTGAGTACATTCTAGAGTGTCTATCACCCATTACAGACTCCTCTATTGAGAATTCTCTATTTAGGTCAGTACCCACTTTTTCATTGGATCCTTTGGTGTTTTGGAAACTTGCTTCTTGAGTTCTTTGTAAATTTTGGAGATCAACCCTCTGTCAGATGTGGGATTAGTGAATATCTTTTCCCATTCTGTGGGCTGATTTTTTTTGTCTTGTTGACTGTGTCCTTTGCCTTACAGAAGCTTCCCAGTTTCAGAAGGTCCCATTTATTAATTGTGGATCTCAATGTCTGTGCTAATAGTGTCATGTTCAGGACGTGGTCTCCTGAACCAGTTTGTTCAAGAGTACCTGCCACTTTCTCTTCTAAGAGATTCACTGTAACTGGATTTATGGTGAAGCCTTTGACCCATTTGGACTTAAATTTTGTGCTTGATGATAGACATGGATCTATCTTCAGTCTTTAACATGCCAGCATCCAGTTATACCAGCACCAATTTTTGAAGATGCTTTCTTTTTTCCATTGTATAATTTTACCTTTTTTGTCAAAAATCAAGTGTTTGTGATGTGTGGGTTAATGTCAGGGTATTCAATTCAATTCCATTGGTCTACCTGTCTATTTTTGTGCCAATACCAAGCTGTTTTCAGGACTAGAGCTCTATCATACAGCTTGAGTTCAGGGATGGTGATGCTGCCAGAAGTTCCTTTGTTATACATAGTTGTTTTGGATATCCTTGGTCTATTGTTTTGCATATAAAGTGGATTATTGTTCTTTCAAGGTCTGTGAAGAATTGTGCTGGTATTTTGATGGGGATTGCATTGAATACGTAGATTGCTATTGGCAAGATTGCCATTTTACTGTGTTGATCCTACCTATCCAAGAGCATGGGAGATCTTTCCATTTTCTGGTATCTTCTTTAATTTATTTCTTTAAAGACTCAAAGTTCTTGCTATATAGGTCTTTCACTTGTTATGTCAGCTACCGCAAGATATTTAATGCTGTTTGTGGCTATTGTAAAGCGTGAAGTTTCTCTGATTTCTTTCTCATCCCATTTATCATCTGTATATAGTAGGGCTACTGATTTTCTTGATTTGATCTTGTATCCTGCCACTTTGCTGAAGGTGTTTGTCATCTATAAGCATTCCCTGTTAGAGGTTTTCATGTCACTTATGTAAACTATCATATAATCTGCAAATATTGAAGGTTTGACCTCTTCCTTTCCAATTTGTATCCCCATGATCGTCTTTTGTTATCATATTTCTCTGGCTAGAACTTCAAGTACAATATTGAAGAGATATGGAGTGGACAGCCTTGTATTGTTCCTGATTTTAGAGGAATTGTGTTGAGTTTCTCTCCATGTTGTCTGTTGATTTACTGTGGAATATCCACATTTTGTTTTCGTGACCACATCAATGTTTTTATAGAAAAGTAATGTCCTTTTAATTTTAATTTTGGAGGATGTTTTTGCTGAATTAAATTATTCACATTTGCATACATTTTATTTGTGTGTATTGAAACTGCCAGTGTATTGTCATCAATCTCCCATTCTTTTAATGAGCTGTTTTTGCTTTGAAGACTGTTTCTGTCATCTGTTTTCAGATATCAGAAAAAACAAAACCTAAGCCAATACACATGCTTAAAGTTCATAAGTTTTCTTGCATTCAGCATCTGTTTCAATGTTCTTTGATGTTTGCAATATTTTTCATTGTGTTGTTTGATGGCTTTTATCAGTCATAAAAATTATCACCTATTATTTTATAAAATGTAACTTTTCCATATCCTGTGTTATCCTAATTTGAATTTGTCTTTGTCTCATGTTTAATATATCCTGAATGGTCTTATGTGTATCGGAGACTATTTTCTTTTATATTTCACTTTATTTTTGTTAAGAACTTCTTATACTCATCAATCCTCCATCATATAACCTGAAGTTAAATATATACTATTTTCTTAATTTATATCATTGTTTATTTTTCAACTCTACCACTTTCATCTGACTAGTATTTACAAGCTCTCTGTCTTTTTAACATGTTGTAAACCTTCCACTCTCCATCATTTTGAACCAAAGGAGATAACTCTCTCTCCAACTCAACTTTGGCTCTGTTTGTAGTATCTTTTTTCTGTTTCTTCACCATATCTCACAAATGACTAATAAGTTGTCCAAATGAATATTGCTCATGAAAACTTACTACATGGTTGATACTCTGATGTACATCTTCCTGGAACAGGAAATCTCTTTACAGGGATGTGCCAGTGGTTGCCACCAACTTATTTAGACCCGGGATGCACTCAATTTTTAGGATTCATATAATTCTCATTATCCACATTTTCAGAGGCTAACCTTTCTGTCATCTACCATGAGGTCAGTTAATCTACCATGCCTTTTCTTTTCCTTCTCCTTATGTAATAGTCAGACACTGTGGAGCTGTTGAGATCATTAGCTGCCATGTTTAATGCTGTATTTTGATCTCCTGGACAAATGCACACACATTTTGACAGATGTCCTCCATTAGAAAGTAATATAATGACAGGTTCCCTCATGCTCCTTCCTTCTCTCAGCTTCTGCGTGTAGGATCCTGAGGATGTCACAACACCAGCTAAGCTTCCTGTCCACTTTGTGGTTTCTTCTTAACTCTTTGACTTTGTCCTGTTTAGGGATTCAAGACTCCCTCATAGGGAGTGCAAGGCTCTCCTTGAGTTACTTTCTTCTTTCCTTTCTCATCAGAATTCTGATTCTTCAGGCTCTCTCTGTGGCTTCCTTGATTTATGTGTATTTACACGAAGTTCTTAGTGATACATTTTCAGATACAGCATCTACAGTATATTGCTCATTGATATATTTAAAATTTCTGTTTTATCACAATTGTCAGTTCTTTTACTTTGATGCCTCAACAATCCCTAAAATGCAGTACCTTCAATGGACATTTACTACTGTAAAAGAGAATACTGTAAAGCCACTATCTCCTGGCATATGTTAAGTCTTCTTCAAGGATATATTCTCTTTAAGTTAACATATCTACTTAACAGCTAAATTTACATCTAGGTTTATTAGCTTTGAAGGTATTATTGTGATGGTACATGTTACTGTTAGGTGCTTATTGACCTCTTCTACATGGTGTGATACAGAAAAAGCTCCATTAGAAACATTCTAGTGATATAGACTTGCATATCAGAGATAAAATCCCCTGAGAGAAGGCTCCCTGAAACAAAGCTACTGCTTAACTTCACCAGTAGAGATAGACAAGAAAACCCCCTTTCTTTTTCCCTATGCTTAGGCATTTTTATATTATCATTGCAAACTGACAAAAACCCTACAAGGTTTGCACGCAGGATTATTCTGCAGTCCAGTAAATATATTGTGACTTGGAGTCCCCATCCTTTAACTTTCATGGGAAGAACATCTCATGAGAGGCACAATTTTAGAGAGAAGTTTAAAATTTGGATGAGCTACTATACTAACTCTCAAGGAGATGAGTGAGCTAATATGTTCAAATGCTGACACTAGTCCAACCCATGTTTGTGGAATAGCTAGACAACAGAGCAGTGTGCAATGGTTGAAAATGAGAAACTAACCACCTCCTGAGTTGGAAACTCATCAAACAATAAGAAGGATGGAACCTGAGCAAGTTCTCATGCTCCCAGTTTTCCCTGTTTCAGACCTGCTGTATCCAACTGTTCCTGACCACAGAAAGTGTCAAACCATTGCTTGTTATGTGCAACCTTATAGGCACAAAGCTTAGAATAGATAGCATTTCTCCACTGGTGAACCCTAATAGAACCTCTTGCATGTTACAAGAATATTATATAAGTATCTCTACTGTAAAAGAACTTCACTTCCAGACCATTTGTTACTAATAAAATACCATGTATTAAGTTACACCATGAAAGTTTTAAGACCTTATTTGTTGATGCTTTTTCTTTCACTCCCTCTGAGATTCATCTACTGTTACAATGCAGCACTGTATATGTAACTACTGCTAAAATATAACACAACTTTGTAGGTACATCTCGTACACTAACATTCATTAGCAAGCCCAAGTCTTTAACATAAAATTAGGATAACCCAATAGCCAGGTTTATGGCAACTACTTGAAGATATTTAACAGATTTGGCTTTTAACAAAAGAGCATGTAGTAAAATCTATTCGATGATTATGATGTCTAGCTGAGCTGCCACACTGGCTTCTTGTTTGGGATAGGAAGAAACCAGGAAGCATCTTTGGGTTTAGGTAGAGATGTGTATGGTAGAGGCACCAATCATTGAAACAACTTTTCTCTCCTCACAGATGCATCCCAAAGGTAATATCTCTTAACAGAAAGGTAAGCTGGCAGTCTTCTCACAGAGACCTCTTTCCGGTGTGATGAAGTCATCCATCAGATGCTTAAAGAACAGTTTCCAGTCTAACTCTGGAGACAGAAGCCTTTGTTGCCGTTAACACTTGTAACTATTTTTGTCCATCAAATTTCCCCATTGCAATAAATATATACAGACATGCATGCGTACATACATACATGCATACATACATATATACACTCCCCATTGAATTTGTAAGCATACTTTAGATGCCTCCACAGGAAATACAGTGCTAAATAAAGATATCTGATGAAAGTTTCCTTTAGAATCTTTCTGTAACCAGAGAATATGGTGATGTTCTGAACACCAACATGTAAAACAAAGCAAACCCTGTAACTTTGTATACATGCTAGCCACCTGACTGATTTTCTCATGGTTTCTTTCTTTGAAATTCTAAAAGTGTATACTTTTTTAAAAAAATCACAAAAGGAATATTCACTATGTTTCACTTTGTGTCTATCTTATATGTAAATAGGAAAACAAGGAAAAATAATTAAATTGTGACAACATTTTTCCATGGCCTCTGTGTTTGGGGAGATGGATATTGATTTGATTTTCTATAGCAGCAATATTTGAATATGTTTATGGGGTACTTTATGACAATTCTGCACATGTTACAGCATGTGCCTTCGTGATGGTAATTATTATCTTCGATCCCTAGGACAAAACTGAAAAGTATTGCTTGTAGAACTGATCTGGTGGTGATGAATTCCCTCAGTTTATGTTTGTTTGAAAAAGTCTTTACTTTGACTTCAGTTCTGAAGGATGGTTCTGCTGAGTTCAGTCGTCACAGTTGGCAGGATTTCATGCATTTGATGCCGGTCTGGGAGATTTTTATTGAGAATTATGCTGGAAATCTAATGGGAGTTTTCTTGTGTATGTCTTGACACAGGGATTTCACAATTTTGTAATTATTTCACATAATTTTGAGCATGACATATGTCAATGAGCATGACATATGACAATGATGGTCTGTTTGGGGTTAAATCTACTTAGATTTGTCCTTTGAGAAGCATATCTCTTAAATCTTCTAAAACCTTTAGCCATTATTTCATGTGAATTTAACATTCCTGTTTTCTCGATGTTCTGAACTTACAATAATGGGAAGATTCAGTCAATGTTATCACAGCTAATATGTTTTGTCAGTTTTTAAAAATCCCATTCCATCCCTTCTCTTCCTTTCTTTTCTTCCTTTCTTTTATCTGACTAGATTAACTCAAAAGACTTGTCAGGTTCTGAAATGCTTTCTTTTCTTTGTTCTAGCCTGTCATACAAGAAAAGAACAAATGGTATCGAACTGATTCCAAACTAGGCTTCAAAGTCCTGACATTTTAAAATACATATATCTCTTTGTTGAATTTCACATACCAATTAAAAAAAAACTTCCTTGAATTGTTTCTCTGTGTTCTCTTGGTACTTCACTGAGTTTTCTTAGGCTCTTTGTTTTTCTGGTGATTCAGTTTCCCTTTGGAGAAGCCGTGTTTCCTTTTAGGTGTGTTTCCCTGTGCCAGTGTGTATTCTTATGCTCTGATAATCATTTTTCCAATTTTATGGTGTAGACTTTGGGGGGAAACAGTTTGACTGTTAGTTGAGATGTAGGACATCAGCTGTGTGGTGCTTCAGCTTTGGTAATAAAGGATCTCTATGTTTGATTTTGATACTATTTCTCCAACTATCAATGTTGTCAGTCTCTTTGAGTGTATCATTAGTCTAGACAACAGCAGTAAGTGAAGTTAGCTGCATAATTTTGCCATGGATATGGGATCCCATTCATGTATGTTCTTAGTTTCAATGAAGTGAACACTTGATGACAATTGGTTGTGTCTTCAAGTTGCTATAGTTTCAATTGTGTGGCAGTACTATCTATCTCCAAGTCCTGTGGGGAAAGTTTCAGTAATGGCAAGTGTTATAGTCCCAACATGCATGGTTCCTGAGTCCGATGATGTAAAGTTTATTCCTCTAGGACCCTCATAATCAATCAGAAGTTGTCCATGGCTCTAGCAGTTACTGCTCTGGAACTGAAAGGGGCCATGTGTAAGTAGGACTCAAACTTGCGACAATAGTGGTACACATAACTTGGTGGTAGACAGTCAGTTCTCTAATTGGACTTATGACCATCTCAACAAGAGGGATACCCTGCCTGGTACTGGAAACCTAGGTAAATGCTAAGTGCTAGTGAAGCCATAGTTACTGGAGGAAAATTTACAGCGACTAATGTGCTAAGCCAGCAGAATCCTAAAATCGATGTAAAAACATGTGCCCTTATGCTCACAGATAAATGACTTTGGTGAACCATGCTACACACATTACTGAATTAGTTCACAAAGTGTTTGTTTGTATCCTGCTTCATTCCCAGTTTTTAGTCTCCTATACCTGTTCATCTTACTTAGTTATTCCCTATGATCATCACTGAAAAATGTATTCATCTCTTCAGTGTTTTTTTTTGTGACAGAGAATTAAATTCTCATAACTATCACTTCTAGTCATAAAATTATTCCAGATTATTTATATGCTATTTGGTCATTTTTACCTCATCATCCTTACACCTTTGATTTTATTTTATGAATCTTTCCTGATTATTGACTATATTTGCCTATCCTTTTATAACATGAATTTTTTATATTTTCTTTGTAGCATTATTTTCTTTGCAGAATGTCACTAGGAGTCATTTTATCACTATGTTTTTGTTTTGTTTTAGCCCAGAACAAAAGTATTTGGTTTTAGACTAGATCCCTGGGCTAACTGGTCTCTGCTGTTAGTCACCCAAGCAGTGTCAGATATGGGTTAGATCTTATGTGTGGGCCTTAAGTCAAATAAGTCAATTGGTTACCCCTGCAAGCTTTGCTCTACCCTTATCCTAGCATATCTTGTAGGCAGGATAGACCAAAGGGTTTATGGCTGGCTGGTGTTTACATTTCTGTTTTTGTGTCATGGGTCCTACATGGGTCTTCACCAGGTCCTCTGAGTACATATATATGGCTTCCAGTTTAGTGTTTTTATGGGACTCTTGCATGTGTGAATGAATGGGTCACTGATTTTTGTATACCTCCTCTTGGGCTCATTTCCTTCTGTTTGTTTATCTAGCCTGACTTCATTGTATTAGTTTTATTTCATCTTATTATAATATATTGTATTACTATCTGTTAGAAGCGTGTACTTTTCTAATGGGACACAGAAAGGGAGTGGATCTGGATGTGAGGGCATGTGAGGGGGCACTGGGAAGAGTAGAGGGAAGGGAACCCATGATCATGATTTATTATGTGAGAAAATAATCTATTTTCAGTAAAAGATGGGCAAAAATAAGACAACCTAAGATGTGAGATCTTCTGTGGTGACATCATAGCCCTGGTGGCAACATCTAGATAACAAGACAGTGGGTGTGGACATACCCTGAACTCTATCAACTTTTTCCATTCTTCCTCCCTCCCTCCTTCCCTCTCTCCCTCCATCACTCCCTCCCTCTATTATTTCCTCAATTCTTTTATTCCTTTCTTCTCTTCTTTCCTCCCTTTTCCCCCATATCCTGTTTGGTTTTGCAGCATTTGGGGTTGAACTCAGAAATTTGCAAATGCCAGGCAAGCATTTCCCAACAAGATACATCCCAAACCATATATTGACTATTTAGTTTGATACAAGATAAGTTAATTTAGCTGGTCTTGAACTCACTCTGTAGCCCAGGAAGGCTTTGAATTTGTGATCCTCCTGCTTTAGCCTCGCAGTGGGTCAGTATTATACCAAGGACCTCTAAACCTGGTGCTCAGTCTTTCTTTTATACTACAGTTATATTTAAAATTTCCCAAAAATCTAACCACTCTAAATATGGACATTTAAAAAGAATCTAAAGGAGGATAACAGAAACTAAAATAAGGTAGAGTAAGACAAAAAATTAATAACATAAAAGTAAATGAATAGTAATGAATATTTGATAAGTTTTAAAACTATAAATCATGAAATCAAAAGTCTGACTAGCTGAAAAATCATCCTGGACTCATGAATTTAACATTTAGTCTTGTTTTAAATAGAAATAAATCCCCCAAACACAACATAAATTAGCATAATTATAACCAAGTTTTCAATTATTTATGGATTAGAAAATCTAAAATTTGAGTAGAATTTAAAATATGTAATCTTGAAAATGAGCAGGATCATTCAATGGAAAAGGTAGCTTCTTTATCAAATGAATTTGGATATTCTCATACAAAAGAACTAAATTGAGCCCTTTCTTCATAATATATATATATATATATGTATATATGATTGGCACAAAAATAGGCAGGTAGACCAATGGAACCGAATTGAAAGCACTAATTTTAACCCACACACCTATGAACACTTGATTTTTGACAAAGAAGCTAAAACTGTACAATGGAAAAAAGAAAGCATCTTCAACAAATGGTGCTGGCATAACTGGGTACTGGTATGCAGAAGACTGCAGATAGATCCATGTTTATCGCCTTGTACAAAACTTAAGTCCAAATGGATCAAAGATCTCAACATACATCCAGCCACACTGAAACTTTTAGAAGAGAAAGTGGGAGATACTCTTCAACGAGTTGGTACAGGAGACCACTTCCTAAACATAACACCAGTGGCACAGGCACTGAGATCGACAATTAACAAATGGGACCTTCTGAAACTAAAAAGCTTCTGTAAGGCAAAGGACACAGTCAAAAAGACAAAAAGGCAGGCCACAGAATGGGAAAAGATTCACTAACCCTACATCTGACAGAGGGCTAATCTCCAAAATTTACAAAGAACTCAAGAAACAAGTCTCCAAAACACCAAAGGATCCAACTAAAAGGTGGGGTACAGAACTAAATAGAGAATTCTCAATAGAGGAGTCTAAAATGGCCGATAGAAACTTAAGAAAGTGCTCAACATCCTTAGCCATCAGGGAAATGCAAATCAAAACAACTCTGAGATACCATCTTACTCCTGTCAGAATGGCTAAAATCAAAAACACCGAAGACAATTTATGCTGGAGAGGATGTGGAGAGAGGGGAACACTCCTCCACTGCTGGTGGGAGTGCCGACTCATACAGCCTCTTTGGAAATCAGTATGGAGATTCCTCAGGAAAATGGGAATTAATCTACCACTAGACCCAGCAATTCCACTCTTAGGCATATATCCAAAAGAGGCAAATTCATACAACAAGGGCATCTGCTCCACTATGTTCATAGCAGCATTATTTGTAATAGCCAGAACCTGGAAGCAACCTAGATGCCCCTCAACTGAAGAGTGGATAGAGAAAATGTGGTACATTTACACAATGGAGTATTACTCAGCAGAAAAAAACAATGGAATCTTGAAATTCGCAGGGAAATGGATAGCGCTGGAAGAAACCATCCTGAGTGAGGTAACAAACATGGTATGTACTCACTCATATATGGATGTTAGACATGGATCAGGATAGTGCTAGTCTGCACTTCCACTGATAGAGAGTCTGGGAAACAGGAAAGAACCTAAAAGATATGCATATATGCATAGTACCCCAAGAGAAGAGGATTGTGACAAGATCCTCTGAATG